AGATGTATGTGTTTAAAGAAAGCTCTGCAGTTATCAGTGGAACTTGGATTCATGATGGCGCCATCTATAAGTTACATCAATATTAGATCCTGTCCTAACTAAAGATCAGTTACCCGTTATTGATAGTGTAGAAGAACTGAAAGTATAAGTTAGACAACTAGTTAAACAGAACAGAGGAAATACACTACGAACAATAGATATTTTAAGTTTAACTTCAAGAAACATATGGCCAGGAACTGGAGGCAAAGGCCTGTTTGGAATAAAAGCTCCTCTTAAAGAATATCTAGAAGAGGTAACTGTCATAGATTTGGGGAACCTGGCCATTACAGCCGATACTGTAAAAAAATCAACACTTGTTATTAAGTCAAAGAGATAGATCCCAACCAGATAAGAAAACAACACAGAGCCAATGAAATATCAAGAAAATGGGAATAAGTTTGACTTATGAGGTAAAGCTCAGCTGGGAATATTCAATCTATTCCAAATAAGAAAAGAAGTTAATTTCTTGATGAAAATCTTTCAAGATTCCTTGGACTTGTTGATGAATATCCTTAGTGTAAGCTGATTGACACTGGTTCTCCCTTTACGAGTGTTTGATCCCATTTGTCAGTGAAAGATTATATATTAACTTAAGAGATGAAGAAAGAAGATGTACTGATGCGAACAGTAGGTGGATATAAGGTTTCAGCAAAGGTATAGTTGGAAGTTACCCTTACTATAGGGAGTTTTTCTGTATCTCTTGATGTGTGGGTAATTAACATTGAGGATGAGTGCATATTGACAGCTGATTTCATGTGGGAAAATGAATGTGAGTTTAAGCTAGTTTCATATATCTTCATAGTTTATAAACAGAAAATCCATGTGCAATACCTGGCGATTACTACACTGGAAATGAACTTCCATAGAAATAAAGACAGTGGCCATTGCAACACTAAGAAGAGAAATACTCATATGAAAAGTTATTAGAAATAATTCATCGTCTCGTGACTAAATAGTGGTGGAACCAAACACTCATGCATGTCCTGCGGAATTGGTGATTGAAAAAGCTCTCGAAGATGTAAAGAATAATAATAACATACATGACTTTATCCACGGATAACTTAAGTCAACTTGTGATAAAACAAAAGGTAGTTATTATGTAAATACCAATAAAACTGGACAAACTCCGAAGTTAAGCGGGTGTTGGGAGCGGCAATATGGTGGGCTGAAAAGAATCAGTGATGTGGTTTGCAGAATTCAGAAAGATAGACGATCCTTTCAAAAGGTCATTGAAAGTACGTAAGTAAGGTAATATCCAATTAGGCTACCCCAGAGAAGAATTTGATAGTGGAAACTCAATCTACTGAGGAACTCGAAGTTTCGGTTTAGACGTTTTCCAGCAGATCATCAGGGATGGATCTGCCAGTGTATTCATATGGCCACCTACTCAATGAAAACTCCTCCAGTGACAACAAGGAACAAAATGCTATCTCATTTGCATGTCACAGGCCTTGGAAGAGAAAACCTTTACAAAAGACTCAGTGAATGGACAGTTTAGTGAAGTGTTTTATTTTTCGTGTTAAGGTAGTTCAAACGTCTTCACAATCCAAGAATAGTGTAGTGTTGTATGCTATGTTTTTAATGTTACGACTGGATTGGCCTATCAAATACTCAAAGGGATTTAACGTCAGATTTTCTGGTACTTTTGATGGTAGACTATAAATACATGGTTCAGCAAATTATTGAGAGTATCATTGGTAATATAGTTAAAAAATCAGTGAATCAGCCAGGGTATTTTCGTCAAATATTTGTACCTGTGTTAGCTGTCGCGTATACCGAGTTACTTCATTTCTAGAAGTTAGTCGGTTTTTATGTTATTGTAGGGCAGTTAAAATCTCTTGTAGAAATTCTTTCCAAGAACCTTCAGCGATACAGTCCTTTCTTAATTAAAACTAGTTTATTCTTTCTCAATACAACTTTGTAATAGACAGAATTTATGTTATGGGTACTACTTGATGACCTGCCACAAGTGACCTTCCAATCTTCACCTCCGCTGGCCTGGATGGATCTTCCACTGCTTCCACAAGCATTGGGCTTCCTTGGTGATGTTCTTTTATTCTACCACAAATTATCATCTCTGACATAGGGGGTATTGTAGTTGACTTAAGTGCTGAGACATGCAAATCAACAGATGCAGCAACACTTATTATAATATGGCCTTTGTTGTTCCCAATCGTCATTTTATCGAAGTTAACTACACACTTCTTAGGTATTAAGTAGTCCAACCCTAATATGCATTGGTCTTCAATGTCAGCCAAGTATACTTTGTATCTGTCCTTCATGCCATGAGCTCAATAGTTACCCACACTGGTCTCCACAACATTGCATATGCCCTGTCACACCGCAGAGCTTCTGTATGGCTTCTGGCACTCCTTTGTGATCCAGCACTTTGATACTCACAAGGGTTTGCTGAGATGCAGAATCTCTGACAAAGGTTGTGGATTGTCCAAGGCGTCTACAAACGGATCCCTCAGCAACAGCTTGAGCACATTGGGTGGTGCAGTTGGGTAGGACTTGTGTGCCATACTTTCCAAGACCTGTGCCAGCTCTTGCAGGCTCTCCCCTTTAGCATGGACTCTAGTCCTAAACCTAGCCCTGTAGACTTTGGACTGATTTTGAGTTCCATGCCTGAGTTCTAGAGCAGCTACCGGTGATCTATAATTGTGCCTGTCGTCTGCTATCAACTGACCAAGTATTTTCAGTGGTTGTCCTATCAGACTCGTTGCCAGGTACACTGCTTTCTGCTCCTCTGTCCATCCATTCGTTTCTGCCAGGAGCTCAAATTGTGCTCTATATGCTTCCCCATTGCCTTCCCATCGAATTCCTGTGGCTTCCTTCGTACTAGATCACCCCTATTGCTGACACTCATGTCTGGAATGTGATTTCTGACAGGACTGAAGATATCTGCATTAGGGTTTAGCTGCGGGTCTGGAAGGGGCTTCCCATTGTTTGAGACTGATTAGGTCGATGGCTAATACATCCTCCTTGTGTAAAAAACAGTAAATCATCCTTTAATGTATTTAATTCACTTTGAAATTTGCTAATGTTTTCAATTTGTATTTCTTGCCACTGCTGTTTACTTTCCTGTAGTTGCTGCTGACTTTCCAGCAACTGTTGGAGACTTTCTTCCTGTATCATTTCTTGTTCCAGTTGCCACTGTTGTAATCTCTATTCTTCTTTCTACTCCAACCACTGCTGTAGTCTCTCTTGTTTATTTTGCTGTTCGAGCTGCCACTGTTGTAGGTTTTCTTGTCACTGTTGTTACCTCTTCTTGTTTCTTTTCTTTTTCCTCCAACAACTGCTGTAATTTCTCTTCTTGTTTCTTTTCTTTTTCCTCTAACAACTGCTGTCATCTCTCTTCTTGTTTCTTTTCTCGTTCTTCTTGTTTCTTTTCTTTTTCCTCCAACAACTGCTGTGATTTCTCTTCTTGTTTCTTTTCCTCCAACAACTGCTGTAATCTCTCTTCTTGTTTATTTTCTCGTTCTTCTTGTTTCTTTTCTTTTTCCTCCAACCACTACTGTAGTCTCTTTT